ACTGACGCAGGAAGCATCAAAAGAAGATGGAAGGAATACACAGAGTCACTGTACCAAAGAGAATTGGTCACCGTTGTTTTAGCTAAAAAAAATAATAAAACCCATTGCTGACGAGTTGATTCCGATGGGTTTAATTTTGACCAGCTCTATTTGGTTTGGTGATTGTTTGCACCTGCCGTTTTTTACGGGTATGGTAGCCCATCCTGTCTGTTTTTCTGGAAGTCTGCTCCCTTCATTAGCCTCTGCATCTCCTCTGTTTCCTCTGGTTTTGGAGTTATGGCATCTTCATTCCTTTACTGTTGTGTTTTAGTGGAGTTTTAGGAGGAAGTGGAGCTAAAGGCATGTTTTCAACCTACCATCTTTACAAGGAGCAAGCTCACTTAAGTGTACAGCTGGATGGTTTTGACAAATGTGAATGCTCACGTCTCTGTCAAGACACCAAGTTTCCATCACTCCAGAAAGTTCCTGTAAAAATGGCGTGCGTGGAGGTGGGGTCATGTGACCTCCTCCATCTTCACAAAGGGGGAGGAGGATCAAGAGGAACAGTCCAAGGCTGATTCCTGTGAGGCGAAGGTCAGATATTCTTCCTGTCTCTGCCATCTTTACCAGTTCTGACACCAACCGTCCCTCCCACGGCACTCTCTACTTCTCTGCTGGGTTCAATAATTCATTGCAGTGGCCACACAGAACTCACAGACAATACTTATGATTATGAGGTTTATTAGGGAAGTAACAGGTTACAATTCAGGTTCAGGAAGCTCAGGATACAGTTCTTGTATTGGGACAACCTCTTCTCAGTTGTGCCCACAGGCACACCTCTCTCTGGCCCTTTGGCCACTGCCCTCCTCGGGGAAGTATTACAAAGCTCTTTTAGCTCTGCTGATAAGTGCCCCGAGGCACCTCACCCCACCAGTAAACCTCCGCCTCAAGGCAGTCAGCTCTAGCTCAATGGGTTGGCAAACCTAGCTCCACCAAGTGCCTGGAGGCACCCTACCCGGCCAGTAAGCCTCCTGCCTGAAGGCATTTAACTTTCTTGCTCCATGGGCAGGGAAGCCAACCATGCCGTCTCCTGCCAGTCTATCCTGCCGCCATATCTCTGCCACTATTTCTCACTGTCTTCAGTGTTATAGCTCTCTCTCGATCTCCTGGTTCTAGGACCTTCTCAGCACAGGGATCCTGGGTCCAAAGGACACACTCAGCTCTTGGTTTTCCTTCCGTGGTGGTGGTGAGATCCTCTCTTCCCACCTCTGGGATGGCTCATTTTAAGCCTAGTGGGATGGCAAACTGACAAATCCCATTGGTGGGCCACAGTTACCTTATTTGCACAGTCCCACCAAACCTGTGTATGGAAGGAATATGCAGAGTCATTATACCAAAAAGAATTGGTCGATGTTCAACCATTTCAAGAGGTAGCATATGATCAGGAACCGATGGTACCGAAGGAAGAAGTCCAAGCTGCACTGAAGTCATTGGCAAAAAACAAGGCTCCGGGAACTGACGGAATATCAGGAGATGTTTCAACAAACGGATGCAGCACTAGAAGTTCTCACTCGTCTATGCCAAGAAATTTGGAAGACAGCTACCTGGCAGCTGACTGGAAGAGAGCCATATTTATGCCTATTCCCAAGAAAGGTGATCCAACCGAATGTGGAAATGATCAAACAATATCATTAATATCACATGCAAGTAAAATTTTGCTGAAGATCATTCAAAAGTGGCTGCAACTGTATATCGACAGGGAACTGCCAGAAATTCAGGCCAGATTCAGAAGAGGACGTGGAACCAGGGATAGCATTACTGATGTCAGATGGATCTTGGCTGAAAGCAAAGAATACTAGAAAGATGTTTACCGGTGTTTTAGTGACTCTGCAAAGGCATTTACTGTGTGGATCATAACAAATTATGGATAACATTGTGAAGAATGGGAATTCCAGAACACTTAATTGTGCTCATGAGGAACCTGTACATAGATCAAGAGGCAGTTATTCGGACAGAACAAGGGGATACTGCATGATTTAAAGTCAAGAAAGGTGTACGTCAGGGTTGTATCCTTTCACCATACCTATTCAATCTGTATGCTGAGCAAATAATCCGAGAAGCTGGACTATATGAAGAAGAATGGGGCATCAGGATTGGAGGAAGACTCATTAACAACCTGTGTTATGCAGATGACACAGCCTTGCTTGCTGAAAGTGAAGAGGACTTGAAGCACTTACTGATGAAGATCAAAGACCACAGCCTTCAGTATGGATTACACCTCAACATAAAGAAAACAAAAATCCTCACAACTGGACCTATAAGCAACATCATGATAGACGAGGAAAAGATTGAAGTTGTAAAGGATTTTAGATACTTGCATCCACAATCAACATCCATGGAGGTAGCAGTCAAGACATCAAAAGACAGAAGACCTCTTTAAAGTGTTGAAAAGCAAAGATGTCACCTTGAAGACTAAGGTGTGCCTGACTCAAGCCATGGTGTTTTTAATCACATCATATGTATACGAAAGCTGGACAATGAATAAGGAAGACCAAAGAAGAATTGGTGCCTTTGAATTGTGGTGTTGGTGAAGAATATTGAATATACCATGGACTGCCAAAAACAACGAACAAATTTGTCTTGGAAGAAGTACAATTAGAATGCTCCTTAGAAGCAAGGATGACTAGACTACGTCTCCCATACTTTGGACATTTTGTCAGGAGTGATCAGTCTCTGGAAAAGGTTATCATGCTTGGTAAAGTACAAGGTCAGCAAAAAAGAAGAAGACCCTCAGTGAGATGGACTGACACAGTGGCTGCAACAATGGGCTCAAGCATAACTATTGTGGGCGTGGCGCAGGACCGGGCAGTGTTTTGTTCTGTTGTACATAGGGTCACTATGAGTCAGAACCGACTCGACGGCACCTAACAACAACAATAACTCAATCACTTGGGTGGGAGTTACAAGACTATGGTAAGAAAGGCCACACAAAGCATTCCACTGCACCATAGTTCCCTTGTGCCTCTTCCCAGTCACTGCCCCCCACTCCTCCAAAGGAACGGCAGCTGTAATTACTGTCGCCATTGAAGTTCCCTGGCTGAGATGTGTTAATTCCGTCTCATCTCAACAGATGCTGTGGGCCCTGCGGGAGAGGATCACCGAGGCACTGAGCCGGGATGGCTACGTGTACAAGTATGACATCTCCCTGCCGGTGGAGCGGCTCTATGACCTCGTGACGGACCTGCGTGCCCGCCTCGGGCCAAGTGCCAAGAGTGTGGTGGGCTACGGCCATCTGGGTGAGCAGGCCTCGGGTGGGAAGGGACCCTCTAGATCAGCAGAGCTGTGCTTGGTTGGGCGGTGGGTGCCGCTACTACCCCACCCAGCACACTGATGAGGCAAACCACTGTGGCCAGAGATGGAACGGGGAGCCTGTTGTTGTAAAATCAAGATTGTGCGATCGGTTGTTGTGCAATTAGTGTTGCCGTTGTTCGTTGCCATGGAGCTGATTCCAACTCATGACCACCCCATGTGTGCGGAGTAGAACTGAGCTCCTTAGCGTTTTCCAGGCTGTGACCTGTCAGAAGTAGATCGCCAGGCCTGTCTTCTGAGGTGCCTCTGGGTGTGTTTGAACCACCAATCTTTTGGTTAGTAGTCAAGTGCTTAACCATTTTCACCACCCAGGGACTCCTTAAAAATCAAGATTAAATGCTGAATACGTCAAATGCTACTTCTGCAGCTATTGAACCAGCCAGGGGCTTGTTTTCTTCTATTTTGTTAACCTGGTAAATTACACTGATTGATCTTTCCGAAGTCAAATGAGCCTTATATTCCTGGGATAAGCCCAGTTTGGTCACCGTCCTTTTGTATTTTGTTTGATTCATTTTATGCGTATTCTGTTTAGATTTCCTGCAGGTCTCTTTATGGATGATATTGTCTGGTGATATTCTTTTCTTGTCTGTCTGTGTTGGACTTTGGTATCAAAACCATAAAATGATTTGCGGGATAACTACTGTACTGCTATCTCTGGAGGAATTAGCATAAGGTTGGAATTAATTTTACCTTGAATGTTTGGTTGTTGTTGTTGTCAGGTGCTGTCAAGTCGGTTCCAACTCATAGCAACCCTGTGTACAACAGAACAAAACACTACCTCGCCCTGCGCCATCCTCACAGTCTTTGCTATGCTTGAGCCCATTGTTGGAGCCACTATGTCAGTCCATCTCATTGAGGGTCTTTCTCTTTTTCTCTTGATCAGGGCTTCCCATTCTATGATGCTTTCAAAGAATCAGCACTTGGCTCTGTTAATCATTTCTATTGTATGTTTGTTTTTTATTTCATTAGTTCCTGCTTTTACCTTTATTATTTCTTCTTTATTTTTTAAGGTTTATTCTGTTCTTTCCCTAACTTATACATTGAACCTTTGTCTCATTGATTTTATGCCTTTCTTCTTTTCTACTGTAAGTATGCAGATGTTTAAATTCCCCCCTCAGTAGCACTTTAGCTGGTCCCTGAAGTTTTTATAGTTAGTGTCTTAGTTATGTAGTGCTGCTATAACAGAAATACCACAAGTGGATGGCTTTAAGAAAGAGAATTTTATTCTCTCACAGTTTAGGAGGCTAGAAGCCCAAATTTAGGACGCCAGTTCCAAGGGAGGGCTTTCTGTCTCTGTTGGCTCTGGAGGAAGGTCCTTGTCATCAATCTTCCCCTGATCTAGGAGCTTCTCAGCACAGGGACCCTGGGTCCAAAGGATGTGCTTATGCTCCTGGCACTACTTTCTTGGTGGTAGGAGGTCCCTGTTTCTCTCTGCTTGTGTCTCTCTTTTATATCTCAAAAGAGATTGACTCAAGATACAACCTAATCTTGTAGATGGAGTCCTGCCTCATTAATATAACTGCCTCTAATCCTGCCTCATTAACATCATAGAGACAGGATTTACAAACACATAAGAAAATCACATCAGATCACGAAATGGTGGACAACCACAGAATGCTGGGAATCATGGCCTAGCCAAGTTGACACACATTTTGGGAGACACAATCCATAACAGTTAGTATTTTAAAAAATATTTTATTTTTGTTGTTGTTTTTGAAAAGATACACAGCAGTACATACACCAATTCAACAATTTCTACAGGTATAATTCAGTGACACTGATTACATTCTTCTTATTGTGCAACCATTCCCACCCTCCTTTTCTGAGTTGTTCCTCCCCCGTTAACATAAACCCACTTCCCCCTAAATTTCCTATCTAATTTTTCAAGTTGTGGTTGTCAGTTCCATCCCGTATAGATCGATCTTAAAAGAGCTCAAAGCTCAAGGCAGACATTCTCTACATAGTTAGTATTTTCATTATCTCAGTTCTATTTTTATAATTCCCATAATTTCTTCTTTGACTTACAAGTTATACAGAAACTTTTTTTTTTTTTAATTATTGATTTTTATTTGATTGTCTTGTAGCCAGAGACCTTGGTCTGTATCAGATCAGTTTGTTTAAGGCTGATTCATCACCCAGTGTGCGGTCAGTTTGCTAGCTGTTTAATGTGTCCCTGAGGGGAATGCACTTTTTGCTGTTGGCGGACAGTGCTTTGTACAGGTTCCTTAGAACAAATATGTACACTGTGTTGTTTAATCTTCTGTATCCTGCTCAGGCTGCCAATTACAGAGCCGTGCCAGCAGTCCCCCACCTGACAGTTCTGTAATCTGTTTCCCCGTGTAGCTCTGTCAATTTGTACAATATTTTCTTAGGAGGTTAGGAGATTAGAATGATGTCATTCTGGAAAGCTGCATCTTTTATCGTGATGGGCTGACTTTTTTTACCTCTAGGATTGCTTTCGGCTCTAAAGCCTCTTTTGTTTGGTTTTATTCAGTGACACTGGCTTCCTGCTCCTCACTGCTTGCCCGCTGTGTTGTTTGTCCTCCTGCGGCTCCTCACAGCCCCTCTCTATCCCTGTCGCTTAGGTGTGTCTCTTGTCGACAGCGCGCACCTAGGTTTTCCTTTTCATCCATTTTGAAAGTCACCGTCTTTCAACGGGAGCATCTTGTTTATTTACACATGCTGCAGTTACTTAGTTATTTGGATTTATTTATTTCATTCTACTTTGGTCCTGCTATTTGTCTCTCATTTCTCGGTTTCTTTTTCTCCTCTTCGTGACCTTCTTTTGGCTGACGTTTCTTTTCTCATCTAATGTTTCGCCCTTACTGATGAGGAAGTTGTAACTGACGCAAGCCATGGTCGTCTGAATCGTCTCATACGCATGAGAAAGCTGGACAGTGAAGAAGGAAGATCCAAGGGAAACTGACGGATTTGAATCCTGGTGTTGGTGAAGGATACTAACTATACCAGGAGTGCCAGAACGAACAAATCCGTCTTGGAACAAGTACAGCCAGAAGGGTCCTTAGAAGCGAGGATGGCAAGACTTCAGCTCGCTTCCCTTGGACACGTCATCAGGAAAGACCAATCACTAGAAAAGGTCATCGTGTTTGGCAAAGCGGAGAGGGTCAGTGAAAACGAGGGAAACCCTCCCTGAGACGGATTTACATGGTGGCTGCAACAGTGGGCTCAAAGGTGTGTACCGTTGTGAAGATGGCAGAGGAGTGGGCAACGTCTCATTGTGTTATACAAGGTTGCCATGAGTTGGAGCTGACTCAATGGCAACTAACACACCAACACAAACCTGTTGTTTTAGTGGTGACCCTGGAATCGTCACATGCATTCCTAACTTACCATGGTTGGAGGTGAATCAGTATTGTTACCCTCCTCCGAAACAAGACAAGCCCCCTTTAGAGGGGCCACGGTGGTTCAGTGGTAGAATTCTCACCTTCCATGCGGAAGACCTGGGTTCGATTCCTGGCCAATGCACTTCACGTGCAGCCACCACCCGTCTGTCAGTGGAGGCTTGAGTGTTGCTATGATGCTGAACAAGTTTCAGCGGAGCTTCCAGACTAAGACAGACTAGGAAGAAAAGCCTGGCGATCGATTTCTGGAAATCGGTCAGTGAAAACCGTATGGAGCACGACAGTCTGATTCCATTGTGCATGGGGTTCCCAACTCAGTGGCAGCTAACAACAGTGGGACCCTTTAACTCTGATCGTCATCCGCTGCTGGTTTATACACTATTTTCAGAGTATCTTTTAGTTCCACCATGTCTTTTTAGCCCCGTATAATGTTATTGTGATCACTTAATATACTCAGAGTTTGTCTAGGTTTACCTACATCTCTGTTCCTTCCTTTGCTCGTCATAACTTCTTGTGCCTCAGACATTCTGTCTGGTATCACACGCCCTGCCTGAAGTCCAGCCTTTAGAACTTATCTAGTGAAGGAAGGTAGGTGACAGCATCTCTCAGATTTTATTTGTCTGCAAGTGTTTTTATTTTGTTCTTAAATTGTTTTTTCATTCCAGTGAATTTCAACAATGCTAGGTTGACAGTTATTTTCGCTCAGCAAAGTGAAGAAATCTGTATTAGTCAGTTCTCCAGACAAACAGGAGCAACAGGCTCTCTCGCCCCCTCTCGTCTCTGTATCTGTGTCTGTCTATGTGGAGGGAGATTTGTTTTAAGGAATTGGGTCATGGGATTATCGGGGCTGGCGAGCATGTAATCTGTAGGCCAGACATCAGGCTGGAAACTCAAGCAGGCTTTTTAATGTTACAGTCTTGAGGCAGAATCCTTCTTCTTTGGGAAACCTCACTTTTTGCTCTTAAGGTCTTCAAGTGAGTGGATAAGACCCGCCTACCTTGTAAAGGATAATCTCCTTTACTTAAAGTCAGCAGATTGTAGATGTCAATCACATCAACAAAATACCTTCACAGCAACATCTAGACTCTGTTTGACCAACTAACAACACCGTCGATGCAGCTAAGTTGACACAAAGTAAACCATCACAGTTTCGTTCCACTGTCTTCTGATCTCTGTGGTGGAGAAGTCACCCGTTGGTTTTTTATTCCTTGCTGCTTTTAAGATCTTTTTAATTTTTTTTTTTTTTATCTTTGGAGGTCCTCGGTTTCACTGTGATTGTCTAGGTGAGCATTCATTTCGCCTGTCCTGCTTGGGATGTGCCGGGCTTTGGTTTCATCAGTTTTAGAAAATGCTCAGCCATTGTCTCTTCAAATAGTTCTTCTCTCCCCTCCCCTCTCTTCTCTCTTTCTGGAACTTCAGTACTCATGTTATCTCGTACTCCTCTTACGCTGTCATGTTGTCCTTACCTGATTCTCTAGGTTGCATTGGATAGATGTGTTCGATTTACGTATCTTCCAGTTCATTAATCTCGCTTTGCTGTGTGTGATATGCTGTGAAACCTGTATTGACTTACACATTTCTGTGACTCTGTTTTTCATTTCTAGAGGATTCATTTGGATATTTACAACTTGGCTTGTTAGTTTTTGTGGTGACTGTATTTTTTATACCTTGTTTCTTTAAGCATACTAGATATATTTTATGTTCTGTTTCTGGAAATTACCATATCGGAAGTCTTGGTGGGTCTCATTGTGCTGGCTCTTGCTCACGGTGGCTTGTTTTCTTGTGTGTATGTGATTTTTGATATGGGTATATTTCTTAGACTTTTATCTGTGGGAATTACTTGGGGCCTGGGCTGGAGGTGATTCTTCAAGAGAGTATTTGGTTTGCCTCTGCCAGGGGCCTCCAGCTGGACCCTCTCTAATCTTCACGTTTTTAGCTCAGAGTCTTTGTGACCACCGAGGCAGGGTGAATCCTGGCTGCAGACCTGCGTGGAGCTGGTTGATGGTTGTGAATAGTTGGCGGAGATGTGTTTTCTCCTTCCACAATCAGGTTCCTGGCGATGGGTTCCCTTGGTGGAGGTTGTCTCCAATTCACCTGCACCCTGACAGTATTCCAGGTGGGCTCTCCTTTTAGTGGGAGAAGGGTCTTTGTCAGGCTCCCCATGTTTGGTAGACCCCCCGTCTTTGGTACCCGGTAACTGTAGATTAGAGGCATGAGAAGCTCCGGGCCCCATCAGACGCCTCCAGGGAAAGGTGTGTCTGGGCTCCATGTTCCTGTTGGTTTACTCTCTCAGGGTCTATCCAGCCTCTGAGCACACTTAACGCCGAGCTCACTGGTGCACTAGACAACCACTCTTTTATTCTATCTGGCGTTTAAGCTGCTCCCCCAGCACCCTCTGCTACCGCTCTCAGAGGTCAGCCCCCTCCCCCTGGGGGCCATCCTCACTGGGCTCTGGGACCCTCAGTCTTCTGCTCCTTCTCCCTGCATGGACCCTTAAAGCTTCTTGGCCTCTGAGTCCATGCTGGGTCTCAGCCGCTGCCTCTTCTCTTTATGACCTACACTCACCCGGTCCCGGAACTGTGCACACCCCATGTCCATCCACCCCTTCTGTGATCTACACTCACCCTGTCCCGGGGCTGTGCACACCCGCGTCCGTCCACCCCTTCTCTGTGATCAACAGTCACCCTGTCCCGGGGCTGTGCACACCCGCGTCCATCCACCCCTTCTCTGTGATCAACAGTCACCCTGTCCCGGGGCTGTGCACACCCATGTCCATCCACCCCTTCTCTCTATGATCTACGGTCACCCTGTCCCGGGGCTG